TTGACAATGTTATGACGCAATTTATTACCAATAAGAGGTCAGACGCATAAAAAACTGACGTCAATTTGTTAATTTTACCACACTTGCTACTAATCTCGCTAATTTGCCGTTATCGATAAGAGTTCAGACAACGCTGCTCGCGTCAATGTGTCACGCTCATGGTCACGGTCTGAAAAAACGTTTTCTTTGACGTTGATATTGTGGTAAAAAACAAATCGAATGTGGTTTAGGGTTGTCTGCACTCTTATTGACAACGATATGCGTCATCACAGTGGTCAAAATTTGTTGTGGACTCACTCGGCCGCTCGATAGGAGTACAGACCACGCTGAACCACATTCGATTTGTTAAACAGACAAACTGAAACTGACAATTGTGAGGCCACAGAGTCCGAGACGGCGTCCACACTGCGCTGGAAGAATTTAAAAACGCAACAATCAGCGCTCATTTTGAATTAATTTTATCTTTGGGGAAAACTCCGTCAGGGAAATCACATCATCATCGTGACGTCATCGTTTTGGAAAAGCTTCGTTTTCAAAAAGTTTTCTGTCCACACGACAACGAAGAGCCGTTTTCAAATCCTCAGGTTTCAAGAGCGTTTTCGAAAAGCTCCATTTTCGTGACGGTCTTACGAGTGTAGACGGTAGGCGTAACCGCAGAAATAAAGTTGCGTTTTTAAATTCCTCCAGCGTAGTGTGGACGGCCCTGATTGTAAATTTTCACAGCGATTAGAAGGTTTTAAAACTCACGAAGATTTGATTCGACTCGCGCGGTCATTGAAGGTTTGCTCCTGGTAAAGAGAGCACTTGACGAGGACATCGATCAAGCTTGAACTCAGAGCGTAGCGCATCACACATTCTATGGCTGTGTGCATAGCAAATAATGGTTGAAAATTGTAAAAAAGGGCAAATTGTATCTGCAATAACACCCTTACCCAGCCCCAGATGGCTATCCTTGTTTCATCCACATAGTCTCTGGCTGCAATATCCCTAGTAAAGATTACAAAACAATGAGTCAGTGCAGAAAACAACGACAACAACACCTTGGGTACATTAATATCCAAAATAAAAACTACAGGAACAAGCTACAGTAAGCCAATATTTACCTGGCAACGTTAATTGTATCCACTGCCTCAAACTTTCCCAACTGTTTATAAACTTGATGCTTAAAACTACAACACAGATAAAATATCACCTTCACTTCAATTGAACTTCACCAAACTAAACCAAACCTTACAACCAAATCCAAATCATTCCTGTAACCACATTTCTGCAAGCTGATTTTTTCGACTTAAATGGGATTGCTTTTGTTTATTCCATGGTTTCACAAGCTTCTTGCTTAAAGCAGAACTGTTTGTACAGCTGTTTCGAGAAACCTTGTCCAAGGGTAATCAAAGCAAAAGGATGTTAAGGGAAGTGCTTGTTTGCCATTGCTTGACCAAAGTTCATTGTTTCAACGCCATTGAAGGAGAATGCGTGAACAGTCAAACTTTCACCATGCAACTGCCAACAGGCCATTTCCGAGTTGCCTTTTGCCTCTGTTTCAAAACGAGTCTTCACGCGAAACCAATCATATGAAAATGTGTTCCGCCTACAGGTTCATTTTCATGGATATCAAACTCATTTTCCTATGAAAGGTTTTGCACGAGGACATAAGGTAACGAAGATGAAGAATTCGTTATTAACAAATAGTAAATGCCAAAAGAAACATGCCCAGAGTCATATGTCTGTACTTACAATTTCATATAACTAACTGCTACATAAAAAAATAATTACAAACTATTTACAAATGTATGAATAACAGTGAAATAAAATTGAACAGGCATCTGTTCACAAAACAGCGTTTATGACGTTCAGTTCTAACACGTGGCAGGATGAAAGGGTGTCCCCTCAGTTTCCTAAGGCTCCTTGATCTCTGGGGTGGAAGCAGTTCATGAAGGAGATGAGCACTATCAGTAGTTATTTTATCCCATAGTAGCCTATTTTTGATTCTAAGGTAACTGGGAAATGACTTATCCTCAAAATCCCTTTCAGCATTGTTGCTTGTACGCTCCTGTGGGAAAACCTTTCTCGAAATGGCTGCAACTAAAATTGTTTTCCCTTTCTTCTTTTTTTTAAGGTGGGGTAGGGTAGTCGGGCTGTTACACTATTACTTACCTTTCCCCTCTGCAGCAAGTTCCTCTCGCATCGACATTCACCACAATCAAGTCATAGTTGCTTACTAGATAACCACTGTCAAATCCATACCCATAACTATCCACAACCTGTTTACGATAAGACAACACAAATTATACAAAAACAATACTGCAAAATCTTTGTTATTACAACTTTATTTGAAAAGTTTATTATTTGAGTGATGGCATAGATGAATATTAAAAATTGGTTAAATTAAAATAAATTAATAAATTATAATATTTGGAGAGGAAGCTACAACAGCCCTAGCTGGTTTTCAAGTAGGTCCTCTATCCTGATCGAATTGAATTTAAATTTGGGTGACTAATGACTGTTGAACTA